ATATATATATATATATATATATATATATATATATATATATATACAGGGTGTCTCACACTCTCCTCCGAGCATTTTGTGGGAACGTAGAACAGGTTGAAGTGAACATAAAAGTCCTGTACTGTTTTGCTATATTCGCAATAATTATCGAGATATTAATTGTAGAAAATTTGTGAATATCATACAGGATATGGTAAATGAGTTATAATAGCGTCGTGTACTTATACTCTAAGTCAAATTGAACAAAAAAGTTCTCTACCATTTTGCAAATAATTACATAGATTTTTAATTATTAATTAAAGAAGATGAGTGCATTATCGCGCAAAATCGTGCAATAATCTTCTTTAATTAATAATTAAAAATCTATGTGATTATTTAGAAAATGGTAGAGGACTTTTTTGTTCAATTTGACCTTAAGTATAAGTACACGACGGCAGTCGTCGCTACTATAACTCATTTACCATATTCTGCATAATCATTTACAAGTTTTCTACAATTAATATCTCGATAATTATTGCGAATATCCCAAAACGGTATTGGACTTTTATGTTCACCTCAACCTGTTCTACGTCCCCACAAAATGCTCGGAAGAGAGTGTGAGACACCCTGTAGATATACTAAAAATATTTAGTTGTGAACAGCATGGTTACATCATTTTAGTTATTTTTGTATGATAGTAATGTGTATGGTTGATATGACGCCGTTACTTTGGTACATCAACCACTTCAATGTAAGTGAATGTGATCTAGTTGTAGCAATCAGAAATCGTCGCTGCTGCAACGCCAGTAACTCAGAAATTGCTACGTGGTTGCAGCAATCACATAATTAGTTGTTTCGCTGTTGAATCTGGTTGCACAAGCAGCTTTATATACGGGCCAACCATATTGTTTTTTCCCGTGCAGATATCATCGTCAAAGAGCGATTTTTATACGCGAGAAACGGCGAATTATTTCAGACGTCACACGCATTGATGACTCCGACTTTTGCGTCGAGCGAGCATGTAAGGACGAATTAATCTTGCATGAGACAAACACGCGCGTGCGGCAAAGGAAGACCTCGGTCAATTTTATATGCTTTATTTCGACGGAGCTTTCGTTTGCGGTTGGATCTGGTCACCGTTACGCAAGAATTAATTAACCCCGCGGAGAGAGACAGCAACTTTGTGCGACTTGAGTTCCGCACACGCAGAGCTCTACATTATCGACGCTACGGTCGCGTACACAACGTACACGCGCGTAACGTATCCCTCTTTCAATTTCACGTGGATTAACGCGCTCTCACGCACCTCGTCGCGTTAATTACCGTTAAAACGAAACGAAAGGCGTGTCCCGTTGGAAAAATCCGTCCGAATGCGAAAGAACACGACATCCATTTCCTCCATTTCCTCATTTTCCCGCGGTCACTTAAACGCTCTCGCCGCACTTAAGATGAAACTCTCCGTATGCTAGATGAAACAGACGTGCATTTGAGCTTCCGAGAGAGGCGGATCCGGGGTGAACGAGCTCAGGGGAGAAAGAAGAAAGAAGCAGGAGCGTAGAGAGTGTGGCTGAAACGAAGACCCGGTATACGGATAAAGAGAACGTTTGACAATCGATTCTTTTGCGAGAGCAGCTGCGTTCTCCTCCGCTCCTTTCTCCTCCTAGAAACGTTTCCTCCGCTCCCTCTCGGGACACAGTAGCCACACCAGTCATATCTTCCTCAACCTTTCCTTTTTTCCTTCCCCGATCATCACCTGCCGATATTTCACCTCGAGTTTTCCTGAAATATTCAGATGTGTGACCGATGTCGCGATCTTTTTGCGGCTGTGAAAAATTCAGGCGGCTTTTTCTCCGTACGGTAAAACTTTGGGGCGGATCTCCGAGCGATCGCGATGGACCACGGCTCTTTGTCGTTTACCACTCGAACTCGCTTAAGTGTCTTAGTTCGCACGCCTAGGGCCACATGTATAACGCGAACAATATGCGTGCAGCGGGCGACGATCCTTCGGAGAAAACGTGAAAACGTTCGAGAGGACGTCGACCCACCGCGGATAGATCGCTCCGCCGGAAAGGAGATTCCCGTGAGAAGTCTTGCGCCTAAACACGCTTTTATCTCTTGACGAGATGGTACCTCGTTTCGCTCGTTTCTCAGCTCTTATTGGCCAGCGCAGTCTTCTCCGTCGCGTCGGTATCCCAAGCCGCCGATATTATTCATAGGCGACAGGGGAGACGATTAACTGGAAACGGTAGAAACAAATGAATAAATTGGGTAGAATGGATTTTTGCCTTTTCTTTTTTTTTTTTTCTTTCGTGAAAGATACGTATTTCTCGAGAGATGCGATTTCTCCGATGTAGAATCTTAGCTTGAAAAAAGAAAGAGACAGGGAGAGGATATTATGTAATATTGTTTATAATATAATCCAGTAATATCAGATTTATATACGCGGAGGATAAAGTTAACCCTCAGCGAGATTGGCAGCCTTCAAGACGCGCGGTATAAAAATATTCACGGCAAACGGGTGCCCGAGAGTAAGGTCAAAGTTTACGTTCATGGGGAACGACGTTTCCGTTTCATCACACACCGGATATTTCCGTCCAATTCCATCAGTGGCAAATGGCTGCTGGCAGATTCAGATAAACTCGTTGTCACTTCGAAACTCGACGAGCCTGTGATCGATCAGTAATCTCATCAAATAAAATTTATCACCGTCGCGAAATCACAGTCTCAAAGTGAAATAAGAACACAGATGCACCTAAAAATGCAGAGCACTCGCGAGTATTTGAGAGAAGCGTTCCAAGCGTGGAGAAAGTAAAGCACGATAAATTTGGAGCGAGCTTGCAAACGTGAGTCGAGATTAATGGGTATATCGCAGTGTAACGCGGAATAAAGCGGGCTCGCTATATTTTATCCTCGAAATAAAGAGCGACCGTTCGCTTTTCATCGGTAGCAACTTTTTCTCCGTTCTCTCGTATTCTGTCGGGCAGATTGAACGCTCGCGATGCGAGCCCGCGAAGTGTATCATTTTCTTCGCGTTTTCGATCTTTCTCTTTAAACTAGTACCAGTCACCGTCCAGCTGGTTTCTCCGCCAACAGCAAACTTGCCAAGTTGTGCATTTGCAAATGTCAATAACCGGCGATTCTCAGTCAGATAGCGCTTCACCCAGTTTCGCAACGACAGTCCTCCATTTTCTCCGCCTCGCGAACATAATAGGACTCGGCCGCTAAATTGACGATTCCTCATCCGTATTGGAACTATCATAATCGTCGAGCGTGAAGCCACTGCGATCGACAAACGTTTTCTCTCTCGATTGTCGTCAAACAGTTTATCGTGTGCTGAAGAGCGCGAAAAGTAGCGATTCGCAGTCGATCGTTCCCCCTCATCTCCCCCTTTTGCAAATATCAGCCATCGATATCCTCACGCTCCTCCATTCTTTTTACTTAGGGCCTCGCCCTTCTTTGCATACGCTTGCAGAGCAGTAGTCTGCACGGAAGTCTACGCGGAAGGGTCGTATTATATTCCGTGAGTTCACATCGTTATTTCCAACCCTCGCCAGATTTTCGGTGAAAAAGAATATTTTGTCGCGGCTAAAAATATTCTTGCAAGTTTTTTTTATCGATATAATTTTAGACTGGCTCTCTCCGCCCTCTCTACCGAATGTCGTCGAAGGACACCTTATTAGTTAAATTTGCTTTATTCGTGTAGCAGAGCTATTTTTATGAAAAGTGACGGCAGGATGTTTATCGAATATCTATTTAGATAATTTATCTATTTAAAGTAAGGTAAAATTTATCTATTTAGGTAAGGTTTATCTATTTAGATAAGATAATTTATCTATTTAGGTAAGGTAAAACAAGCATATTAAATTTTTTTTTTTTTAATAAATTAAAATAGTTCAATATTCCAATAGTGAATCAAGTTCGCTTCGCTTTTTCCAGCCAAATTTTAGCTCATGCTTAGGATCTCGCGTCAAGTGAATCTTTTATTCGCGACGACCGACGCGTCTCTTCTTTTTATTTAGTTGTCCGCGCGAGAAGTGTTCGTTACGCTTGTGTGCATGTGCATCGTGTGAGCCTATATAAGCACGTTTCCGCCTTTTAAACGGGCACACTCAAGTGCCCGGTAGCCCCTTCATGTACAAACGACCCTGCATACGATGACATCATACGTGCTGACAAGAAGGGGAGAGGCGACTTATTCGGGCAGAGCACTTTGAGAAGGTCTAGACTGTGCACGGGAGCGGAACAAAAACCATGTTTACCGTTCTTGCGTCTTCGAACAAATCGTCGCTTATCGTTGGCGATTCGTTCGGGAGAATATTTTCAGAATCACGTTCCCGCCGATCTACTTTCCGGACGACAACGACGCGATAACTTTTTCGTGACCGCGGCGATAAATTTTTTTCTTTTACTTTTTATAACTGCCGATAAGACGTATCCGTGAATAATATTCTCGAGAAATCACGGAGAAATAGGGAGCCGTGGCAGATACTCTCTTAAAATGAATCAGTCATATATCACTGAAAACAATGAATATACACTGATTGCAGTCATAAGTATAGCACTGAAAGTGCTTAGTGCTATATTCATAACTGTTGTCAGTCACTGTTTACTGACTCATTTTAGAGAGTAGACAGCTTATATATTTTACCGTTTTGGGACACTATCGACACCGGACCCGATCATACCGTTCTCTGTGTATCTCTTCTTTTTCTGGGAAAATAATATTTCTCTGTCAGACGCTTTTTTCCGTACTTTATGCAAACCTGTGAAGATCTGGTCCCCCTTTTGTCGGGCTGTCGCGTGACGCACGCGGTTGATACACGCATTCGTAAGTACGCGCGTGAGCGTGCACACGTGACACATACACGCGCGTTGTGTCCGCAGCGCCGGATTCACAGAAAATATTCGTTCGTCGGACGCCTCGTGCGTGCATCGTGCTCTCGAATCAATACTTTCCTCGGCACGGGGGCATATCGCTCGTTTTATTGCCCGTTTTGTCCTTCCCCACCCTTCTTCCTCCACGGACCTGCTTTTTTTTTCTTTTCGCGCGTTTATTCGCTCCTCTTGTACTTCGTGCAACGTGGATGCAAATAAATCCGCGCGATACGACATTTATTCTTGCAGATAAATTCGCGGGATACCGACGGGGTTAGAGAGTATGCGGGGTTTTGCATATACGTATAATTTTTCGCTGCTCAACAACTCCTGTCGATAAATTTGGCGTCACGTTAACGTAGATGATAACTGTAGAAAAATGTAAGTGAAAAGTATCTTTTATATTTATTGCGGGTCTGTATACATATTGATGAAACTTGAAGCAATCGTCAATTGTCGAACTAATACTTATTAGGGAGAATTTACACTCTAGCGGAAAAGCAGAAAGGCAGAAGCCAATCGCGCTAATAGTCACGTAGTAGTCGTCAGTCTCTGCTTTTCTATCAGCGTGATTAGTTTCTGCCTTCCTCTGTTTTTTTACTGTTTTTTGCTTAGACGCTTAAATGTTCATATATTTATATCGGATGATTAAAAATATAATGGATGACATCAACCTTCTTTGATTGTTCCTCCAAGTCTTTTTTGAGGCCACATAAATTTGTCCAAATTTGTCCTTAACAGTATCTCTATACAACGATGATAATTTGTATATTTTTCACAATGCAACTTTTGAGACTTTTTGCACGCATATCTCCACGCGAAATATCATTATGCATTATTGTCTTGATTATTTCTTATGTATACTTTTTATTTTTTCTTTAAGATCGATTTTCGTGGCTAATTGCAAAAGAGGGACCCGTGAGCAACTAGGAATGGCGACGCGAGACCGCGCGTTTTACAACCGGCCGTTCCCGTTACCGTTAGTGCACTTTAATATTGCACGTAAGGATGTAATTACGAGTGTATACTCGTAATAGGACCATCCATCTCGGCAGCGATGCGTGCACGAGAGTAGAAAGTATAGAAGGAAAAAGAGCGCGGCGCGCGCGAGTGGATTTAGGGACAATATATTCGCGTAATAACTAGAACGAGGCGGATATGTAGTAAGAGTTCGAGCGTGCGATCTTCTTCCTTCCCTCTCTCGAGGCATGCGCTAGCTACAGTTGTAGTTGCGACGCGTTCCTACGATAATCAAATGCACGTTGAAAGTAAGTTTTTCTCTAAGGTTTTTCCAAGCACTCTTTCTCTCTCTCTCTCTCTTTTTTTGTTGCATGTAAGATACGATAAATATATCGCGAAATTATAAACACGTACGGGAGCGCCGAGGCGTTTAACTAAGGAATCGACTTTCCACGCTCAATTAAACACGATGACGACAGACCTACGTAACTCGTTTTCGAGCGAGGGTACTTAATAATTTCAGATAAATAGATCCTTGATAACTTTTCCTGATAACACGCGCTCTCGTCGTTACGTCACGCGTGCCGCTTTTATTGCGGAACAATGTATGTTCAGAAGAAAATGTGTCTGTGATCTTATTGTATGAAGATCAGTCCCCCAAGGAGAAATCATGCAGCTCTGTTGCATCGGTTAGCTAGCTGTTGCTTTATTTTTTATATAAATTTGCTGCGATTTTCGTGGCATTATGATATTTAAGCCAAAATCCGAACATGACTCTCTTTCTTCTTCTCTACACTAAGAGAAAAAAATAGTTGGAATAACTATAATCTCACTATATTTTATAGTTCGTTTTGGCCTCAAACATATATTTATAGTTCATCTAAACATGAAGATATAGTAGAATAAACACAGATTTATAGTCACCATCTTATTACTCTATATATATATGGTAAAGCACCTTTTGGGAATATAGTTACATGTACCTATATTTGCCAAATATTCCAATTGTATTGACTATATAAAATAGTTAATTTCTCTTACTATTCAATATTTGCCACCTTACCATATTTTTTATTTCAAATAATTATAATTCTTGGTAAAAATTTTACACGGGTCAGTTATACTATACTTATATTGTAAATATTACAAATATTATGGTAACATTTACTATAAAAATTATATTCCTAACTATAATATTTTTACTATGCCATTATAGTTCCAAATATCATACATTTTTCTCTCAGTATACGTGCGACGCGCAGTTTTCTAAAAATACATACAAAATTATAGTTATATGAAAGAACCGAAAGGCTTGTCCGAATAATACTCAACTATTTATTATTCGAAAACTCCACGAGCATCTATGTCTGTATGTATGCGCATGCATGTGAGCTATAAACGAAAATATCGGGGAAAAGCTATCGGCACGTTAATCAAAACCGGCGATTTCAACGAAGACGACGGTGTTGACGACCAAACTCACTCGTCCCACTCGATTATCACCGCCACTTCGTGCACACGTCATTTCCAAGCGGAGATTGACCCACGGGTCAGCTTATAACGTCAATTATGACGCCGAATTAAAATCAATCGTACATGTGTTTCTGCAGGCGCGCGCACTTACATGAAAGTATTGATCTTATGCAATATCCGCCGTACACGATTATCCGCAGTAGATAATTCGACAATTAACCACTGTATAATGAAAGCTACGTATCAGGTTTGTCAAGAGTAATTGACACCCTGCCTGAACGTGATGAAATACGCTGAGAGATATATTTACTGTTGAGTCTTTTTTTTGTTTATCATAGTATCATAGAGATATATTTACTGTTGAGTCTTTTTTTTGTTTATCATAGTATCATAGAGATATATTTACTGTTGAGTCTTTTTTTGTTTATACAGTAACGCGCCATGCGGATCGTGCCACGCGAACGACGCGAAATTAAATTAAATTTGGTAAATCGGAGCGAGAAAGCCCGTGTGCGTAATAGGATATGCCGGAATTGTCTGCGCAAAATGGGATTCAATTGCCGCCAGGAATTATTCCGTAAAACGGATCCGCGCGTCGAATACACGCGGAGATTAATCCGGAGCGCAAAGTTCGCATGTGCATACCGCGCCGTTTCTATAATCCACAGGAAAGTTAGGAACCGCGCAACGGGGCTTATGAACCTTCGCGGAAGACTTTCGCATGGTACGAAAGTAATCGTCGGATCGAACCCCATTTCCCGCTCCCGGGCGTTAATCTGTTCTCCAGGATGGAATGAAATTTCGGAAACTTCGCGCACAAGACGAATCCCCCCGGGAAATGTTTAATAGAAACTTACTGAGAGAGAGCATGTGTGTATATATCCGCATCAATCACGCTGCGATACACAGCGGAGAGTTATCGAGGTTGTATCGATGTCCTAAGTTGTACATCATCAATTTTTTTTGTTATTATTGATCATCGATGAACGACATCTAACCTAAAAAAATATGAGAATTAATGCAGTGAGAAATGTAAACAAAATTTTTTAGATTGTATTTTTTTATTAAAATTATTTTTATTATTTTATGCGTGCTGCAAACATTAAAAAAAAAGATTAGATACAATCGATGAGGTACAATTTAGGAGATCGGCACGATTTCAGTAACACTCCTGTAATTACAACAGGAGATTTTTTGTATTGAAAATATTTTAATCGAGATTAATATAAATCAATAGGAGCTGAATTGCAGATTTGACGCGTAATTATTGTATAATAAAATTTCTTGAGACGTTAAATCTAGACAAGTGTGCGCGATTTTTTTCACGTCCAAGCTTCTTTGTTTTGATTTGTGCCCGTTTTTACAGCTTTATCAAACCTATTGTTCTCGCTCATTTATAAGTTCCCCATTTCTTCCCTTTAATTATCGCGCGACTGATGCTGTGAAAATATTGTCTCATTCAATTTGTGACCAGTCCTTATTCTGTCGCTTTATTGAGTTCAAGACGTTTTCCTCGCGGTGAGAGAGTGGGCATCTTCGTGTGTTCTAACTTAAAAATAAAAATGTTACTGGCCTCACCTATTTTTTGCTTTTATTGTGCACTCTGAGTTTGTGCTTATTAAGATTCACAGAGAGCGCTGACTTGTTGACAGTAATTTATCGAAACTCGGAACTCGATTTTTCAACTAGAATTAAAGAGAGACAGTGCTGTGTTTGCGACAATTCAGTAATAATTGGTAATTTTAATGCGAATTTAAATCGTAGCACTTATTAGTTCTACTGTCTAAGGAGAACTGAAACTAGTAATTACGATAAATGTTTACTCACTGGCTTCTCTGTATACGTTATGGCGTGGCGTGTGTATCGAGATGTGCCGGTTTATTTATATATATTTCTTACTATTATTATTCTGTATTTATATTTATGTCTCATCATTCTATGTTATCTTACGTTTATATCTATAACATTTAATTGCCTGCCCCGCTTTAATTGCCTGCCCCGCTCCTGAAAGTATCATCACTCAAGAGGTCAGGAAGTATAACACTCTCCTTGATTTCATCCTCCCAAGAGATTTGATCAAAATTGCGCATCAACATCCGTGATTCGGCTCCGAGTGATCCACTTATGTCACGTTGGTTGAATACCTCATGAGCCATATAATGAGAGGTGGAATTCATTAAACGCTCCGAAGCGTTTCAGTAATATAACGACGTAATTAATACGCGTATAAAATCTGCCTGGTATAGAAACAAATTCTTTGAAGCGCGTCAAATGAATTTCAAATTGTTCCGTCACGCTTATTAATATCGATTGATCCAAGCAAATATTTTCCAATAGAGGACCGAATTAAGAGTCTTTATATTTCAACGTCCGGAATCTCTTCATCTTCTGTCGATTCTTACTACGGAAAGATCGCGAACTTAATTGGCGGATTTGCCCATCGCTGCAAATGATCGCGCAGCAAAGGACGTTTCATAATTTCGGCGTCCTTCCACCTTTCCTTCGTGTCTCGCAAGGGCGCGTTCGACGGCGGGATTTAGCGTCTCGGATAGCTCTTTGATCACGAACGATTAAGCTGGTACAGAGGTGCTCTTGTATTCGTCGCGGCAGCGAGTTACTCCGTATAAGTTGGTACGCCGCCAAGACCTCGATCGTCTCATTCAAGTCGGGTCTGAGACCCGAGACGACGAGCGCGTTCGATAACACAGCTTGCTGCTGCTGCTGATTCCGTTGCGAGATAGTTCTCGCGAGGTAGACGCTATTTCAACCGTTGTTCGCGGGAGATTAAACCGCGCGCTAAATTTTCCCTCTTTCCGTAGCAGATACTTGAAGTGCCGGCTACATTTTGGCGCCGTTTAAATCTCCCGGAAACGCCCGCGAGAGTTTGCTGGTCGAAATGGCGGTAGTGCGCGAGTCATTTAAATAAAATTGGAGCGCGCGGAAAATAATATCCAACACTTGCAATGCTTCCTACGAAGAAATGTCAGAGAACACCGGACGTCTCTCGTTACACGCTTTTACAAAGTGGTCTGACAGCTATTTTTGCAGGTGACTCATTGCAATGCACGCCGCTGGACCGGGCGTACAAAAGTAAAGTTCTAGGACATTATCCAGACTCGGTGCCATGGAACCCTTTCGACGAACATGCCGTCTGCATGGTACGTATCTATTCGCGATAGCTAATCGCTAATTGCAGCCCGAACTAACGATGAGCTAACGATAGATATAATTTTATTTGTACAATACAGTCGTGTTTCTTGCGCCGTCGAAAAGCGCATAGGAAATTCATTAATCACTATTGTTTGAATTAAATATTCATTTTTGGGATCTTGAGCAAGTAGCATTTTTACTATTGCTTTGAGTAAATTTCTATATGCTCTGAGTGAGCATTTATTTCGAGAAATTTGGAGAATTTATTGATTTTTATTATAACACAAAATTATATATGTGTGTTACACATGTATATTGTTCAAAAGATCTACACGGAGAGAATATTGTAGTTTTTCTTTTCATATAAATTCTTTTCAATTTCACTACGTTTTCATTTAATTATGCTACAAACGTTAGTAAATGTTTTAACAGCACATTTCAGTTCTTAAAATATGTAAGTAGTACATGTGAAATGAAAGGACAGAATGAATTATTGCAGAATGTCGATCTATTCCTCGGTTACAAAATCCTGTAGTGTTTACTATAAAATTCTCTTCGTGTATTGTAGTTAGTTTTGGCTAACGTTCTCGCGACTTTTTTTGCCGATAATTAAGCTCAAAGAATATTAAGCGCACGCCAGCACTGACGAGGTACGGATAAACCAATAAGAATAAAGATTGTCAGCCATTGCGTTATATCAGAATAGATGATAACTGCAAAAGTACTTCCTATACTTATTGTAAGTGCACTGAGAGAAAAGACTGATAACTATAACAAACTGCATTTAGTTACAGAAATTCATTAAATCCTTAGTAACTAATACTAAATATGATAATAATTACAAAATATTTAATAGATCGGAAGTATGATGTAATTGCATTCACAGTAACATCAATTAAATAATTTAGTAATAGTTACTTAATGTTAAATATTTACAGTTGTGAGCAGATATATGAAATATATTACAGTTATGAGCAGATATTTGATAATTGTTATGAAATTGTTATATCCCATGTAATAAAAAATTCAGTAGGTACGAGTTCTATTTTGTTACCAGTATAAGTATGTTTTGTTGCAGCACAACGAAAAATTCATTCATTTGCAGCTATTACATCGTTTCAATATCTATTATTACAGATGGTTGGTTGAACCTACCAAAAATTTTGTAACTACTACAAAATCGCTTATTTTGCTCAACTATTCAATAAGTTTTATTTACCAAATATATTCTGGGAGCAAATAAATTTTACTTCTGTTAAATAAATAATTTATTTTACAGAACTAAATTAATTAATAAGTATTGCCATAGCTTTGGCCCGCTATATTTACGTCTACCATTTAGTAATCAAATTTTGATAATATTTACTAAATTCTTCTCTCAGTGTGTGTATCGATAAAACATTGAGGTAATCGTAAATTGTAGAATTAATACTTATCAGAGACGCTAAATACCGAGATATTTATAGCTGATGACTAAAAACAGTCGACCCTTCTTCTATTACCTCCGGTCCCTTCCTTTTGGAAGTCACGAAAATTTGTCAAGGGCTGACGGTCTGTAACAGAGTACCTCGTCGGTGGCGGTAGTCGAGGGGAGAGTAACTTATCGATTACATTGATAATAGCTTTGTCTGCCAAGCGGTTTACGATTCCGTACTCAAAAGCACTCGGTGGAGCCGACCTTCCACTCCTTCGTGCTCACGAAGGAGGACGGCCACAGAACGTACGGGTTCAGTCTCGTCTTCTACGAAGAGTGCCGCAATCGCAAGATATGCGCCGCTATGCAAACGCTGCAGGCGATGCACATCACGGAGCTCAGCAGCGGCCAAAACGGCACGCCACCCACGTACGTGTCTACCATACGTGTGTTCGTGTAATTGCATTTTTAATCGCTCCTATCTACTACGGAAGCCCTCTCACGCGGGATGAGATCGCAAAGATCGAGGAATTCTTTTTTTAGCAGCAGATTAATTTCGAGTCACAGTCTCCCTAGAAATATGTCGTCGCGTGTGTGATATGAGGCGTTCCGCACGGGAGACAAGAACGTGAGGTCGCAATTTTTCATGAAGAAGATATTGCCGTTTAAGGTTCGAAAGAAGAGGGAACGCCCGCCATTGAGGTACATAAGTTTGCCACGTCATAAAATATAGGAAATGACAAAACTTGGCTGAATTTTAGGCTGTGTCGATAAATGAGCCTCACGTCGGAGATTTTTCTTCGGAGAGATCACGGTGATGTAGACGCGCAGTGTGTATCAGCAGCGTCTACGATGAATGGCGGGCTCAACCTTGCCGTTTGGAACGCCTCATTTGTCTCAATCATTTGATATCCTCGCGCATGACTCACGATCGACTGTAAGGCTCAATTTTTCAGCGCACGAAAGGGCCAGGACGGACACAACACGAGGTCGTTGCCGCGGCACTTCAAACTGTCAGCTCATTCGCCGGGTGCTGCGTTAGCGTACTACGACTCTACCAAAGACAAGTTACTAGTGACCAAATCGATATCTCTGCTGTGCCAGCAGCCCTACCTCCACGCGGCGAAGACGTTCCTCGATAATCTCTACAAGTAAATGAGAAAGAGAGATAACGACCGAGACTCCACACGGTTACAGTTGTTATAAATAACGCGCACGTATCGCGAAATCCTTTTCCTACTCGCACATCCGTCGAATTGACGATTTCTTAACACACTGACTGCTAAATTCGAATTATCTCACAGTCAATGTGCGAAGAGAATTCCTTGTTCCATACGCCAATCATAAGTTATATACTTCTTCTGTGTGAGTTCGTTGAACGATAAATATTATTAACATATTAAAATAACATACTGATTTTGAAACGGTGTCCGGAAGGAAGTTTCCCGATGTCACTTTGGCAAGCAATTGGCAGCAGTGTTAAGGAACGAAATTTTCAGATGCGTTCCTAGACACCCTGGACCTGGCCTCAGTCTGGAGTCCTACGTGTATAATCTCCTGTACAATGTGCCGGTTCCGTTGCCCGGCAAATCGTTGAAGTTCTTCGTACCTAACGACGAGCCCGCGAAATCTCCGCTGGAGCTGGTCATCCACCAGCCGTCCCCGTCGCTGGAGCTGCCGATGTTGGACTACCCCTTGAAGGACGTGTTCACGTGGCTGGGTGCGGACTGTCTGATACAGCTGTTCACGTGCGTGCTGCTGGAGAACCAGGTACTCCTGAGGAGCACGGACTTTCACAAGCTAATGGTGGTGTCAGAGTGCATAACGGCGCTCCTCTTCCCGTTCTCGTGGCAACACGTCTATGTGCCGATATTGCCCGCTAGTCTGCATCACTTCTTGGACGCACCCGTGCCCTTCATCATGGGTCTGCACGCGCACAGCGAGGGCGGCATGTTGAAGATCGCTAGCGAAGTACGTCTTTCAGGAATCCCCGTTTCTGCGTGTCTCAATGTTGACTGTTATTGAACTACTAAACGCATCGACAAATTTTGATGATGTTAGTTAGACGGTTAAATTCGTGTTATTAATATAAACTGGGTAGTTCTTATGAACTCTCTCGAATATCTACTCAGTAGTCAAGTTTACGAGTACGTCTCGGATATTATCCGAAAGAATCCGAAATAAATCAAGTATCTAAATACTCGAAAACACTAACGAGATAAGAATAAATACCGTCATATGAGATTTGGCGTATAGGCAAAATTTTGCTGTTAAATAATTATCTGTTAATAAATGTTGTATCAAATCAATTTAGATAAATGCACAAGTGCACTTTCGCGAAAATATCAATTTTATTGTATGTCTGTACACATAACGATAAATATTGCACATTTTATTTTTGTCTTTTCAATTACTACGATTCGGTCCTTTTCTCGTTACTTTCATTACATTATCATTCACGCTAAATGATAGTTAATTTGTTTCTTTATAAAAGCGTATGTATTGCAGAAGTTGCACTTGAGTGACATTTTGTTGCGTTTGGTTACAGGCGAATCTCTGTTATGTAGATATAGATAAACAAAGTAGCCAATTCCCGGAAGAGTTACCCGTGTTTCCTCACAAAGTGCAGTTTATCGCGGAGATTAGGGCGCTTCTAAACAAGTACAAAGTACCACACTCGGGAAAGTAAGTAATTCTTCATTCTTCTTACTTTTCTCGAGAATCGAGACCGATTCCATTTCTAAACGCGAAGAACACTTTGCAGGACTGATAACATGGTCATAAATTATTACAATGGCGACATCATGACCAGTAGCCTGACGCTTCCTGGCTCCGGTTTCCACCTTCCTCGCAGAAAACATTCTCTGCATGATGTGCTAGATTGGGACCGACCGGAACCTGGCCCACAGTCGGACAATTTGCAAAGGATAGTGGATATTGTTAAAAGACCAGGTAATACGATCTTCAAACATACATGTATATTCATGTGAAAAATCAATATTATATAATTATACAAGCGCTACATTTGCAATAAGATCACAAATACTCGCACTTTTTGATTACAGTAAACCTAGACGATATCGATCCTGTGGAGGATATTATAAACGAGAAGATACTTACGCCGCAGGAGGAGTATCAGGAGACTCTCGTCTTCAATAACGCTATCAGGGAGATGTTCCTGAATCGTTTTGTACAAATGTTTTCTAGTTACGAACACTTTGTTATACAGCCAAGTCAGGTACGTGTGTGCGTAATATCATTGTTGAGGAAAACTTTTAGATATTAAAAAATTTTATACTTTGCAAATCTCACAAAGGAATTAGAGAAATAGATCGTACATTTTTAATTATATAATATTAAATGTATATCTTTGTATACATTGAAGGATAAGGATGAATGGATCAACAATAGGGACAGTATGCACGTTTTCGACAAGGCTACTTTTCTATCCGACCAGCCTACGCAGCATCTGCCGTTCCTGTCGAGATTCCTCGAGACGCAGATGTTCGCGTCTCTCGTCGACAGTAAAGTGATGTCGACGTGGAGCGAGCTCGATTTCAACATAAAAGTCTTCGACCAAAGGATCTCCCTTTTGAAGTAAGTCTTGATTACCTTTTCTTACCTGCTCGCGATTTGATCCTCGTTTACCGCGCGAATAATGGAACATAGGCAATAGGGACGCTCTTTTAATCCGGATTTAACCCGGTATTCTTCCCCGTGTCTTTCAGGAAGAAAGTCGGGGAGAGCATTATACGATCGATGCGTTACGAGCCCTGCACGAGTATCGCGGATACACAACAGATATTGGAGCAAAGATTAACCAACGTGGACTTCGAGACGAATCCGCCCGCGGAAATTCTCCCGCACCGAGCGGCGTATTTTCGGAGTTTCCCCCTGCTGGACAGCGTCGTGTTGAATAAAGAGCCCGCGCAAAGGTGCGTCACGATCGAAACTCAATCTCGACGATTTAATCTCTCGTCCCTTCAAACTTTTTTACTAATCTTTGCTCATTTATTTTGTGCTTCCTATGTAGTATACTCCGGTAAGAGACATCTCTTGATAATGATTAGTATAAAACGAAGGTCTCAAAGCGAAAGTGTGTCAAGTCTAATTTCATAAGGTTCATACATGTATGGGCGATTTTACGCGGAAGGAAATAAAATTTGCAAGTTTGCATTGCATTTTAATTCACTTTTGTTTCGAGACCTCTGAGTATACATTGCATGACGTTTATGTCGTATCACAAATTAGCAATATGCGGGTTAATAATCGATTTCTTCTATCCCGCAGCAGTAGAAGAGGACAGACGCAGTGGAAGTATAAAATGAAATCCATAGACGCGAACGGAAAGCCTGCGACGCCTCAGGAATCTCAGTCACCTCGACCTCAGACTAAACTCTCGGCGGACATGAGTCCGGCTTTGATAGCGCAGGCTAATTGGACATTCGTCGAAAAATTGCTCAAAGTATGTATTATCCCAGACGACATAAATATCTAAAAGACAACTTAGAAACGTCTGAAAGGCATTCTGCTTGTTTTAAACGTCTCTAAGATATATTTTAGACGCTTGTGCTGTCTTAAAATCGTTTTACATCTGTCTCATATAAGTAAATATCTAATGTCTTATATCAGGCTATTTAATACATTATATTACATACAATATCATAATAATATATTATTATTAATACTAATCTAGCAACATAACATAATACCATCATTCTTCTTCCTTTAAGGATTGTAAATCTAAGACGAAGAGAATGCTGGTGGAGAAAATGGGGTCGGAAGCAGTCGCGCTCGGTCATGGCGGCGAGTCTCTGTCCGATGTCGAGGAGAATACTCTAGTCGCTAGTCTCTGTGATCTACTGGAGCGGGTGTGGAGCCACGGCCTGCAAAACAAGCAGGGCAAAAGCGCGCTCTGGTCACACCTGACCATGTATCAGGAATCAGAAGAATGTAACGACGCAACCAAGTCTATAGATCCTAACTTTCTGTCCCCTGGTAAGACATTCACACACACATATATATGCATGCGCTTAAAAATTCAGCCGAATAAGCCACGATACTCCCGACTCATGTGAGCGGAGAATCATTGTACAAATTGCACAAAGTGTATTACATTTATCGAAAAATTGCTCAAAGTGTCACGAGACTTCTGTAATATTAATATCGTCTATTCCCAGACAATATAAATGTCTAAAAGACGTCTTGGAGACTTCTAAATCTAAGATTTACGAAGAATTATATGTTTAATGTTCCTATTTTGCGGAAATGCAGCGCTAGCGTGGTCTGTGCTGCGGAAACGACTCGATTGTACGTTCCAACCGTTTTACGATAAGATAAACAGTGTTATAAAAGTAGAGATTAGTTCTTCGTACGTAGATATCCTGCATTATTAGTTTTGTAAGTGATACATCAAAACTGACACATTAGTTATATGTACTATGTGTTCATGCTTCCTCGCACGCGTTATTCCTGCGAGTTACCCTTTCGGATACTCGATATGCAATCAATATCGGCGCAATTCTTATGTTCCGCTTGTTATTATTATTACATTTCAACTGTTTTATTTCTCTTCTTTTCCTTTATTTTTTGTATTTTTATGTTGTAACTAGCTAAGAAATCGCCGAATAGGTTTTTCGGAATACCGAATCGTTTGGTTTCATCCTTGAGAGGCAAAAGTATGTTCGAAATTGCGTCTTACATCAGGGACAATTTGAACGGTAAGCCATGATATTGGCTTGCCCGTAAAGAAAAGCTTTATTTGGCCGACGAACTGCACGAAAGCGATACCTACTTCTACGTTTTGTCGCGTATTCTTTAATTTTGTCATGAAGCTCGCGTGAATGTCTGATTGTGCAAAGATGTAGTAAATGACAACATATTGTTTTACACAACGATATTTGTCGCTGTTATCTGAACGTAAAGGAGCCTGTTTGTTGCGACGATTGATAACGTATAGAGAATTGCATGACAAATTGCCGTGACGAAATTGCGCACTTGATATATTGGATCAGTTTAAACATTCGATTCTAAACGAAACTACTACTAATTAATTAAACGAAACTATTACTAATTAATTTTGACTAATAAAAATCGCGCAAAAATGCTAACAGCGAGTAATAATTTCTTGCGCGGGAAGACGATAATGCAGACGATGCTTTATTCAGTTTCATTTTCTGCTTTATTCAAATCCCAGCCAGATGTGTGCAAACTTTGATAAAGTATTACAATAAAATTAAGCTATTATTTAGTTGAGAAATAATTTAATTTCGTTGAATTGCAATGCAGTCAATTTTTACTGGAAAGTCGAACCGAACTGTTTGACTGACTCGGTACTTTTCAAACGTTATGGAGAGTGTGTGCATATGTGTTTCTGAGTGTTTCTTGTACGAAGCATGATATCGCATTTGCATGTACAGTATTGTAAAAATATGTATCGAATATAACGATACGAGAATGATTGTGTTTGTTGAGAAGAATATTGTCCTTGCTCGTTTTTATCTTTGCTCGTGAACATCCTTAGTAAGAAACGTGCACATCTAAAATGTATTTTATATCGCGACAGATTTGTCGAATTTACAATTGGAGACAGACGTCTCGCCCACAAGAGGCACGGACAAGCACAAGTCGCCTGGCGAGAGGAAAACCGTAGGCCCGGAACATCTCAGACCCTTGCCGGACTCTCTGATTTTCGACATTCGTAACGTCCAAGCGATGACCGACATCAAGACGCACATTGGATATGCAAGAGCGTGGGTGCGGCTGGCACTTGAGAAAAAACTGCTGTCGCGTCATTTGAAGACATTACTGTCGGACAGCGCTCTGTTGAGGTGTGTAAAGAAAAAAATACGCCTCATATAAAAGATTAATTCACGATAACATCATACTGTTGTCTCCTCGACAATTAAATTATTTCATTATTGTTACGATCTATTATAGGAGTCAATATAAGCGATCGGCGTTTTTACGCTGCGAAGAGGAGAAAGAGCAATTTTTGTACCATCTCCTGACGCTCAACGCTGTCGACTACTTTTGCTTCACGAACAACTACCCGACGACGAAGTTGCCGTATCGTGTCGTGATATTTCCCAGCCGGAAAGCGAGCGCTGCTACGACCTCGGCTAATAGTTGGATCGCTATTTCCGGCACACTCTGCGAGACAAATCCTGTGCCCATACCGAAGGGAGCGCTTGAATTCGTATTCCATGTAAGCGCTTCATGTTTCGTGCGTTATCTCGCTGCTCTTAATAAGTGCTCATACAAAATTACGAATACCATTTGAATCGTTGATTGTATTCCAAATCAGTTAAAAGGAAGCGCACATAACATTCTGCTTACTGTCACAGTATCATTTCTGTATATTGAATATCTTTTTCTGCTTTTCAGCATAAAAACTTAGGCGTGCTGTCGACGTTACGAATCGGACATGACAACACGGGAATGTCACCGAAGTGGATGGTGGAGCACGTCGTGGTGAGGAACGAGGTGACGGGACATACGTTCAAGTTCCCTTGCGGTCGTTGGCTGGGCCGAGGAATAGATGATGGATCTACTGAGCGATTGTTAGTGGGCGCCTTAGTACCTCGAAGTATCGACAGCGAGGAGCTGGTGGAATCGTGCTCCACACCTCCGAGATGTAGATCACCTAGTATACCGAGACGTCCCATATTGTCTCAAGTCGAGCTGCAGCATATGCTCGGTATATATGCATTTGTATAATACTAGTTGTATAATCAGAAATATTTTTCTAATACTAGAAAATAACGCGTTACTTGTCACGCCGTTATAATTATGTAAATGATGAGATTGAGCGAATATCCACGTTGCTTATAGGTGAAGCTGTGAACGCTATAGTCAAATATCACTACAGGAGAGAATGCCAGGATGGTTCCTTGACAGCGCTGTTGTGCGGAGAAGGCGGCCTGGTGCCGTCCTTGGAGCAGATTTTTTTATTCGGCTTCAAGAACCAGAGAATCTTCGGCAGGAACTTCTACGTGTGGGATTATTTTCGTGAGTGCATTGCGATCATGATTTTTGAGAGGCGAGGAACCTTAGAAGAAAATATATAACGGAGATTGTTATAGTGCGCGTGAAGGAAAATTTCGAGATATCCTTGCTGGAAGAAATGGACGAGTACTCGCAGAGGCTTAACCGGGACAGAAGAGCGCATGCGGAGAGCAGCCAGAGATTCACGATTTTGAGATGTTATTGCCATCTTATCGATCAAATTAATATGTTCAGCCAGACTTTAGGAAAGGACGGCAAGTTCCAGTTATTCATCTGCCTGGCGGCGAGGTGGGTGTCAAATCGCGCGCTACGTCTTCGACATTTTTCAAGACGTACGGTCATATGCCTTTTATGTGAGACCTGGCTTGCTAGCGAATTTGACAAAGTATCAGAATAAGATGACCACGTTACAATATGTTCGTATTTCGGTTATTACAAAAACAATACACGATTTGCAGAATCGTTGTTAGTATAAAAATATAAAGGAAGATTGTTTCTATTATGTTTGTGCAGTCAATTACAACTATTGGTTGTCTGGAAAGTTGCAATTTCGAAATTCTGAAAAATCTTCCGTGTTGCGGCATTAGCATGGATTAAGTAAAAGAGAAATGTATTCGCATAAGCAGTCCGATATCCGTCGAACGAAAATCGATTCGATCGCGGTCGTTATTCGTGCTAATTCGATATTTGATGTTTCAGAGAGCAGCTACTTCATCCGATGTTACGGCCAATGAGTGACGCGCGTTCCACGACGGAAATGTACGAGGAAAACTCGTTTCTGAGGAATCCTACGCTGTTGACCTTCCTCATTCACATTCTCGAGCCGCTGAGCGAGTTCCACATTGTTCTCGAGAAGAGTTTGACTCACGGAATCTCTAGTATATGTTAGTACTTGCCGAAACGTACGGATGTACGTTGAAAAATCGTCACGGATATTTCTGTGTTCTCCCGGTGAAATATGTCCGAAAAGACGAAGACAATTTGTTAAAACTCCACGCGTATCCGCCCGACGTGATCGGCAAGAACTTGTCATCCGTCGCTCTATCGCGTTCTTAATCGCCGACGGGCTGCAGAACGAGATCAAGTCTTTCCTAGTCGGGGACACACGCGTCTCTCGGTCGCGCGATAGAAACTCGTCGTCGTGCTCCAAAAGACGACGAGCTCGATTGTTATATTACGTAGAACGATAGAGGAAGCTCGGCGAATTTTATCATTGAGATGAAAAAAGAGATTAATGAAAAGGATTTAATAATACATATACATATATATATTAAAACTAAAGACTGTTACCGGGAATGTAGCTGTATAATAGACGTTTATAGGTGACAAATTAACGGCGAGAAATTAAACGCGAGATTTATGAGATAATATAATGTTAAACAAAGAGCATAGATCCTGCCCTATTTCAGAAGCTTGCGATATTATGACCGGTGATAAAGCAAAAGAAAGGAAGAGAAATGAGAAATAATTAATATAAACGGAATATGTTCGGGCTATCTTGCCGTAACTATTAACTGGAAAATGGTGGAGAGTTCGTTGAAATATTGATACTAATGATGACTCATGTACCAAAGATGTGATCCTACTTAATCAGTAGTATTTTATATTATCGTTATTGTCATTAAGTCGTTTAGTTTCTTCATTATTCTACACTTTTCGTATATCTCAGTCGGACACACGCGCGCAATCTTTTCGAATCCCGACGTTTTACTCGCTCGCGGGGAAACTATTTTCCGAAATTTTAACATGTACGAGAAATTCGTACACGAGATACCTATATATACATACATACATATATACATACATATATATACACATAACTCGCTCACTCATACATATACATACATACCATGTTACATTACATTTTTTTAATGGCTGTGCTTCAATACTTGCGTGTTATGAGATTGAATATAACTGTCCTGAGCGTGAGTGTTGTACTAACATGACAATTTTATATTATGATGCGTATTATTACATCGGTCGTATACCGAACTTCGGCGAAGTGTATATTTCCCAAGAGTCCTTCGTACGTAACCGAGTACCTCGTGATATTTTATCCAAATGGTCGCTCTTTTATTCCGTTTCTTTTCCTGTTTTCACGCCGCCCCTCCGATGCTCCCGCGGTTTTATATTCGATCGATCATTTGTACGATACACCCGTCGGTATAGATACATGTTAATTATAACTGCGATACAAAAGAGAGAGAGAAAGAAGGAAGCGACGAAACTTTGTCGAATTGCACCGCGAACGGACCAAACGATGTGTTTAGATCGTTGTGTCTCTCTTTATCTCTTTCTCTCTCTCTCTTTCTCTCTCTCCTCGAGAAAGAGGAAAGTCCGAGTGTTACGTCGATCAGAAAATCTCGTACTCGTTTTCCTCTTGTCTAACTTATAATATGAGGAGACCATACTTCGACTACAGATCGACTTGACATTTCCTTGATCCGAAGTTGTCATTATTACCGACTTTGCATGCCCATTACCATTCTTCATAAGTAATACGAGATAATAATGTTTATTCTAAAAAAAGAGAAAGAAAGGAAATAATCCCAAAGTACAATCTTATATGCGTCTGGCGCAAACTCGCAACTGCATTCGATAGTTAAGATAACCATTCGATTTCTCGATTTCCAAAGTGCTCATCAAGTTCCCACGCGATATCGTCGGATATTTCGTCGCGATTGCGACCGAATGTGAAATTGTCGTTGGTCAAAAGCATTTTCGCCCGGCATTCTCTCGTTCGTCGTGTCTGGCGCCGGCGAAATTGCATCTTTACGATACGATGCGCGATTCTCCGATCCGTCGTTCTAATTTATCTTCATTACGCGTCGAGGCCGAGTTGACAAAATTTCGTTCTCACGCGTTGCGTATCGTGTCGTCGTTTTAATGAGAAAGAAAGAAAAAAGATGTAGAAAAACTGTGTCATTCATGAAGGGACCCAGCAAACAACGACGTCAAATGACGCATCAATGGCGTCTCTAACATTAATAACATGTCATTTGACGTAGTTCTGCTGCTTGGGGAGCGAAAAGGAAGGGCAAAGATGGATTTTCTTCCTCGAACCAATAATATTTGGACGTTATCTGGCGAGAAAGCCGATACCCTGATGTTATGTATATTGTGATCGTTTCTAGACTGAGGAAATAATATCCGTAATGTATCTTCGTAAATGTACATCGTGTCTCCTTGATTGTCGCCGGATACGTGTTGCGCGCCTCGCATTTTACGTCGCGGTCACGTCAAAGCGAAGCCGTCGAAGTGATCAGCAAATACTTCAAAACACGGGCGTTTTATACGAAAAATATCTCGAATTACATGTTTTTATCTATCTCTCTTTACTAGTATTATTGTACATGCGCACTTTATAACATAACGTATAAACAGCTCGAATGAGTACAAAATTGTGCATGGAAATAGCAAATTTGTTTATATCAATTAAATGTCTGGTGAGATATGAACAAGCCAGAAATTCCGATTGAAGTTACCAGAATTCCGTTCAAGTTAGCAAGATTTCTGGTCAAGTAGAACTCGCAACTGTTGAACTTGAAGAGAAATCTTGTCTGATTAACCCTTTCAGGACAGGAGACATCTTTTGATGTTTTACGGCCTTCATGTATTTCAGAAACTATCGACTCGATATTCACAAAAATTGGTACGTAGAGGTTTTTCGGGATGCTCTTTCCAAATTTGAAGTAAAAAGTATAAAATTCAAAATGGCGGATCAAATATAGTGATTTTCAAGATGCAAAATTATATAAATATGACTCAGTTTCCGTGGAACTTACTCTTTAAATTTGAATTAGTGAAATTCTTTACTGATTTTCAATTTCGCTCTTCTTGAAGCTCATTCAGTACCACACAAACTTTAGTTAGCAGCAGACTGGAACAAATGACATTTACAATATATTTACATATTATATACAAATATTCGATTTCAGTTCTCTAAAAAGTTTCATAGTTCAAATTTCACGGAAATTGAGTAATATTTATATTATTTGTTATTTTTCCGCCATATTGGACCAGAATTTTAAAAATCTAAATTCAGATTCAGAATTTTAAAAATCTAAATTCAGATTCGAATTCCACGACCCCAAAAATCCATAGAATACTTCCCTATAATTATCTCCCCGAGCAACCTTCCGTCCTGAAAGGGTTAACCAGAGTCTTGTTAATTTGAATAGCATTCTGGTAACTCGAAACGCAATTTTGGTTCGTTCATGTTTCATCAGACATTTGGCTAATCCGATCAAATCTCTTTTTCCGTGTATAAAAGAAAAAAAAGAACAAAGTGCGCCCCGACGACGGCGATTGCTTCTGCCACGTGACCGCGAGTGAATCGCGCCGATTCAATACTCATTGTAGTCTACACTTAAAGCCGCGATTAGTTCGAAACCCGTTTCTTACCGCGAGGTCGTTGCTCTGTATATATATACGTACGTGGATTATACCGACAAGCTTCGTGTAATGTGTGCATAAGGACTTTTACAAAGCATATGTTACGTAAGGTGTATATATTATATATTGCAAGGCATATTATTGTACAGTAGAATAAAGCATTATCATGAGGGATCTGATGGAATTCGTTAGACCATTTCGCTCGCACGGCGAGAGCGCATTTCGCGCTCCCCTCTCATCCGGGGACTCTTGACACGTTGACCGTCACGATGGGGGTCACCGGCGACCCGTGCTATGATTTCGCCGCGTTAAATTAATTTACGCGTAAGGCGTAACTAATTGCACATAACGAATTAAATGTGAGGGAGCTAATAAAAAGCTGCCTGAGGAATACACGCAGCGGAAAATGTATGCGCTCATCATCGTGACTTTGCTTATTCAAATCTCAAATTGCCGACTTCAGAGCAATTCACGAAGATCCGCGAGACGGTCAACGCATTATAATAACATGATGTAATACAGTAGTAAGGGAATGTTGATAGAACGCAGTAGTATAGTTACGAAGTAATGAAACACTCGAGAATGAGCGCTCGATTTGTGCTCTGTTTTCGACGAAATATTCACGCGTGATCTTTGTGAGGAAGTAATACACGGAGAAAATTTTATTAATAGAAATTACACTATAGCATTTTGTAACTGCGGAATATTCTTCAGTAATTGACTATCCTTTCATGTTATATGCGTTATTTATATTTTAGGAACTAAAATGTTGTGCTATTTAAAGCTCCTGGCTCCTTGCCACGGAATTCTCGACTGATGACATCAGAGATGAGAAAATATACGAAAAACGAAAAAATTCTTGCAAAATACGTTGAAATAAAAAGATATATCAATAAAATAATACTTGAAATCGATCGGGCACGTCTGTAAAATGGTCCGAACGCTTTCCTTTTGTGCCAACAACCAACAAATTTTCATAAAATTGACAAACCGTTAAATTACTGTAAAACTTGACACGCAATCTACCTTTTTAACCTATATTTCTTCATAATTTCGTCATCTTGATTCAACAGTTATTTATTGATTGTTAAAACAAAAGGAAAGTGTTCGGACTATTTTATTCATCTGCGTGATCGATCGCAAGTATCACTTTACGAATATATCTTTTTACTTCTACGTATTTTGCAAGAATTTTTGGCGTGTGTTTTCTTGCTTCTGACGTTATAAATCAAAATGGCCACGGTGCGGAGCGAGGATTTGCCTTAAAAATTTGTTATATCCCTATCATCGTTCTGGTTCGGCACAGATGGGTCTTGAATTAGGCTCTTCGAGCTATATAAGTTAATTGATCAGGGCCTGATGCAACAGTGCATTTCCACTCCTGATTACGGGTCGGATCGTGCGACGTTATCCGGGCCTTACTTGAGGTATGGAAACCGGATTGGACTCCAACAAGGCCGTAAGATGATAATCTGCTCGAGTAGACTTCTCCGCCACTGCGACTTTTGACAAGCCCTCGCCATGTATTCTACTTATTAACGCGCTCACGGTGGGTAGGTCTAAGTTTTCTTCCTTAATAACCTGAAAACCGTCGAGTGTTCGAGCAAACGACAAAAGCCGATCAAGTATTTTTCGATTTCCGATCTATCTACATTACAATTAAATTCCAGCCAAATCGATGATTCATAGTCACCTTGTTGATCACGGATCGCCTCGATCAAGAGCCTGAATCACGAGGACGCAGAGATCGATGATGATGGACGGAATCGTGGAAAATGAAGGAAGAGGATGAACGAGAGGAGGATGAAGTGATGAGACACACACAATTTGTATAAAATACCGATACTTTATTATTTTCAATCGATTTTCTTGCAACGCCGCGCAAGGACGCGCAAGGTATGTACACAGACGATCATTTACACATTACAATTCTCACCTATGCATTAAAAAGAAGTATTTACGTGCTAAAGGCATTAAAAGTAACGCATACAAGTGTCTCGTTTTCCTCACGGAGTCGGTAAAAACTACGGTACGTTCGGGCTACAACGGTTCGTTATATGCCGGGCGAAGTGTGATCTGAGGTATATCAGTGGTACTCTATTGCGCTATTACGAAACGAAAAAAGAAAACGACAAAAAAAACGAACGAACGAACAAGGAAGAGAGAAACAAAAAAAGGAAACAAAGAAAAAGAAAACCAGTCGGCACCTGGACAGATCGAAATGACGAGTTTCGTGAAAATGTATCGCGCGTGAGCATATACAATATGTCCAACCGAATGTATGTGTGTTTTATACTTATGCGTGTTGTGTGTGTGTGTGTTTATGTGTATATGTGTGTGTGTATGGGCTTTTTTACTTATAAAAGCAACGTGTATTCGACGATAGTCTCCGCGTGGGAGCTGTACAGGGTCATTCCTACGCGCGTGCACACGGAGACTATGTGCTTCCTTAGTCAGGACGAGGTTTCACGTTTCAAACTGCGCGATCTCTCTCTTTCACTCTCCTCCTCTCTCCTCGTCCTTATTAAGGAGAGAAATAGTCAACTTAATACGCTGATTCCGCGTCGCTCCTATATTTACATCGAACCCCGTGCTACATTTTTCCTCGCTTCTCTCTCTTATTGTCCTCTCTCGTAATCGATTCGCATTTTCTCACTTCCTCGCTTGCCGCGGACTTGGAACAAAACACGCCGCGGGCGAGGTGACATTCGCTCGGATCTGCGGAGATCCTTCGAACGCGTATCTTCTTCCCGATACTCGCGGGCCAGTAGAAGTCGGGACGCCTTATCCGACTGAGGAAAGTCGACGAGATCAACCGGCAGAGTCACAATTGGCTTTCATACGATTGCTCACTTGCTACTTTTTTCTCTCTTCACGGTGCTATCGCTTCTATGTACACATCTCGTTGCTTAATGAAACGCTCAAGTTACGCGCTGACGTCCCACGTGCGAGGCGACTGCTCCTTAGGAACCGATTTCAAATATTCGCGCGCGCGTGCGCGCGTATCACACACGTGTCGGCTCGCCGTGCGAAACGCGACGCAGCATTGGATTCTCTCTCGCTTTACTCTCGCTCGCATATTACATTAGTTACAATATTATATACATGCGCAGGATGAACAGTCGCGCCCCTGCTTCGCCTTCTCTCTTTCTCGAGTGTACAATTCGGGCGCGTTAGGTGAACCTCAACAAGGTAGGTCCACGAGTTACTCTCTCCGATCGTCGGAGGACCCCTCGATCCGTGAAAAGTCGAACAGTCTGTTAACGTAAGCGACTCGCAAGTTCGTCCATCTCTAATCTCGTTCTCTCGCGTGCGCGCTCGCATTGATTACGCAACTTTACATTCGTTGATTACTTGAGGAAAAGGTGGGGGAAGAGGGAAGAAAAGAAATGTCGGCGAAGACGCGTTAAAGTCGAAGTACGAAGGGAGACGAAAGGAAGAACACACAAGGCGAGGAAGTGAAAGGAAGAGAAAGGGGAAGATCAGCCGCGCGGATTTCCCGCGATATCTTTGTATTACTCGACTCCTGGTTACACATTGTACTAAGATTTGGTCAACTGACGTTATTTACGCACTAACTAACTCCTGTTTCTGGCACTGAACGTTCTCTCATTCTCTCTCATTCTCTCTCTCTCACACACGCACACACACGCGCTCTCTTTTTTCATTTCTGTCTTAATTGAGCGCGGCGGTGAGATTCGCGCGCGAACCTGAACAACTCGAAACGCCGTCCATGGCGATTCGCATGCGCCCGGATGATTCGGCTCGACCCCGTGAGTGTCGTCCGGGAGCATCGTCCGATAAATTTCCAGAGTGAATATAATTGCGAACGTGGACATCGTGTCCTTCACGCGCATGTCTTGTCCTCTCGGATCGACTCGATCAGAACTCCCGAGCGCTCAGGCGCCCGGAACCTCGCGAAAAGTCCTTAGAGTTACGTGTGACGTGGAGGATACACATATATATGTATAGAGATATCATAAATACGTTCGCGTTTATCAACCGGTACTCACGACTTTCAGCGTCACCTTCGCTCTCGAGCCGACTCGATCTCTCACTCGTGCGAGAGTCCTCGGAGTTTCACGGCGGGATAAGCGACGTTAACGCACGACACTTTGTCCGCAGGAGCACGAGTTCGCGCGAATAAACGACGACGACGACGACGACGACGCCTATCCTTCCGCTTCCTTCTAAAACTCTCGCTCGTTAAGTACTGGCAACTCCATTTTCTGTCTCGATGTATACATGTTATGTGTCACGATGACCGCGTTACTTTTTGTCGACGTACATGTTCGCATTCGACTTCGTCGTCGTGTCGCCCCGGATAAGGTAAGGCGTGAAATCGTATAAAGCGTTGCGCGGTCCGGCGATATCGCGCGATCGAGGTGACTTATCGCGCAATAGCGAAACGATACACGGGGGGGAGTCGAAATAACCGCGCGATATCGCCTGAACCGAGAAGCTAGCTCCTTTTGCTCGGAAACAAAAGCTCGGAAGGTGCTCTTTCGCGCGCGCACACGACTAACGTCGCGACGAAAGGAACCACTGCGATCGATTTTCGATCGACCATCATCTCGGGGTCGTCGCGATAGTCTTCAGTCGCGTCGTTTGGGCTCGCTCCCTGTCTCGTCATTCTCTCTTTCATTCTCACTCCTATTCTCTTTCTCTTTCTCTATTCTCCTTACACTTACGCGCGTTAATTCTTAACCGTACTCTACATATACGTATATACAGTCGCGACAACACGTTCCACGTTCCACGGCGAACGCTCGTGGGATACGAGTCGCGAATTTTTCGATTTCGCGACGAAAGGGGGAGAGGTCGACTTTTTTTGGTTTTTTTCGCTGGATCGTTCTACTACTATTTTACTCTCTCTCTCTCTCTCTCTCTCTCTCTCTCTCTCTCACGCACTCTATCTTCCTCTTTTTTTTCGCTCTCACCCCTTTCTCACACACACACACACCCACACACACACACACACAACGACACGTGCATACACTTGGCGGAAATCATTCTGTCACGCTCGAATTACTACATTACGCACATTACGGCGGGTCACAGCGCAGCGACCCTTCCTAGGAACCGCAGAGCAATAAACGAACGAACGATCGTGTCGCGTAATTCTAAGGGTAAACAGATTCGCGTCGTACATTTGGATTCAATGTCCGAAGTGCGAACGTCCCAGGACGAGACTCTAGAATACCATCGGACCGAGTCGCGCGATATAAGGCAGCGGCTTCGAATAGAAGGGGGGGAGGGGGGAAATCTTCAATTATGTAAACGTTTCGTTCGACGACTCTCTCGTCGACGAACATGACATTCCCGGGGAAAAAACGCGAGTGTTCTTACACTTAGAAAGAAAGTTCTACACGCTATCAAAGCATTTTCGAGCACACGTTTCCTGTATGAAGATATTCCAAAATTTCTCAACATAAGATGTCTCAACCTGATTCGATATCGCACGTAACACGGTCCGAGTATTCTTCCCTACTTTCGATTGTACCACACTTTCTCTCTCCCTCTCTCTCTCTCTCTCACTCTCATCAGTTTACACACGCATACGCACACTCACACATACAAATATATATATATATATATATATATATAGATAT